AAAGGACAATTGACAAAGCTGCCTTAAGTTTAAAAAGAGTTATGACTTGCAACCTTTTACCTGATCTAAAAATAGCAGATTGAGGGAGAGTGGGAAAATCATCGTGGAAGTATCTTAATAAGCGAGTTACTCTAGCTCCTTTGTGGTAGAGATTCCAGCTTATGCGAACTGACATTGCCTTAAATTAAAAAAAAAGTAAATATATTTACAAAAAAAGTAATTTTTACTTTGAGAAGTATTGTCTCACTTTTGATTTAAGTTTTATTTTGGGTGGTTCGAACGAAGGCTCAATACCAGCAGAGTCATTATTATTTTGAGAGCTATGTATATAATTGCTCTAGATAAACAAGATCCATTTTTTTTTGTAGAATGCTCAACAATTTTTTGACTGGTGGATACGTAACTCTATTGATGATTATAAAATATTTGTTCTTTCCTCTTCATTTTTCTTTTTTGTCAAGAATAATAAATGGCATAATAAAATCCATAGTTAATTTTCTCTTCAAGCATGTTTTATATTCAATCACAAGTTTATTTAATTTTTTTGTTATGCCAGCTCTGATTACTGACGGCAAGCTAAATTTCATATTCCGGAGCTGCTTCAAATCCTTCACTATTTTTTGTATAACAAATTTTGATGTTGGTGCAAGGTGTGTGTCAACTAATACTACATCAACTCCGTTCGACATTGCAGAATTTATGTCCGAAGAACATAAATGCTCGACAACTACAATTAAAAGAGAACTAAAACAAATGGGATATACCCGTGAAAGGCTTAAATCGGTTGTTGTTGCAAGAAACTCAACTCATGTAATAGCAAGAAGGTTCACGTTTTACAATCATGTTTCTATTCAGCAAAATTCTGATCTAGTTTTTACTAATCAAAGCGGTTTTAATTTGCACAATTCAAAACATTACAGATATGCATTGTTGGAAAATACCCCGTATATTACAGTCTCTACACAGGGAAGAAGGAATGTTAACTTATTATGCATCATTTCAGTTACGGGATGTACTGGTTTTAAACTAAAGGTTAAACTAAAGCCTTTAATTTTTTATTTTTTTTTTATCACAAATAGTCATTAAGACTAATCCAAAGTAGCGTCCGTTATTGAGCAACATTTTTACGTACAGAAGTACTACTCAAGCGCTGAGTTGGCGGTGGCAGGATTTGAACCCGTATCATACAACAGTCCGGGTTTTAACTTTTCGTTTGACGCTCTAACTGAGCTATCCAGCCCGTATCGTACAACAGTTTTAATGCTGCTAGCATGAACGAGGGAATCAAGCAAGATATAAGACCAGCTTAAGGTGATCGAAGATATGTTGTAATAATGGACAATGCGCGACCACTCATCATTTGTTGAATCAGCATTTCAAGAAAATATTTGTACTACCCAGTTTTTATCACGTTACAGGCCTCAACTTAATCATATCGAGAAGTTTTTTGGTGTGGTTAAAAATTAATTTAGAAAATTCAATTCAATTCACGACCATAAGAAAATCCATAATCCATAAGAAATGATTAGCATTATTACTGAGATTTTAGCAGATTTTACCGAATACTCTTTTGAAAATTATTATTCGTAAAATGCGCGAGCGTGTTACGAATAATAATTTTCAAAAATTTTTCTTAAATTACTTAAAACATTTGAAAATTAAATTATTTTTATTATGAAAATTATTATAAACGCAACGAAAATAATTATGGACGAGAAAAAATTATTGATACTGTAATAATTTTCCTTATAATCTTACTAGTAAAGAGGCTCTACTTGCTGATGACGCGACTATCTACTCCAGTCTTGACAAAAACTTTTTGATTGCTTAGAACCGGCTGCCGATCTTGAATCTGATCTCTCTTTGGGAAGCAAAAGCTTAGGACATGCAGTGGTGGGTGAACTTTAACTCAAACAAAACTTAATTATTTTTTGTTAACAATTATTGCAACATTTTTGATACTCCTATATTGGTGAAATCTTAAAAAAACTCTATTATCATTCACTACTGACCTCTCAGGGAAATCTTATATACAATTTTTTGCAAGGTTTCATTCAATACAAGGTTAGCATCTCTAATTCGTCCTTATAAAAATACCGATACCATTTTTGGGCTGGTTCTAATAATAAGGACTTTTTTAAAAAATAACGCATTATTTTTCTAAAAATACATAATTTTGTCGGCTTCTAAGATTGAGCTTCTGCTCCATCATTGTAACGTTACATCTGTTTCATTTCTACAAATACCATGATTACTAAGGTGGTTCAAAAAACAATGCTTTTAAAAAATAACTGCTAACTTTTTTCCAAAAGTATGTGATGTCGGGTCTCAAACGAAGCGAAACCATATAAAAAATTCAAAAATAACCATCATTTAATAACAAATTATTATTTTAGATTTTATTATAAAAAATGACAACTTTCAACTAGAAATAAAAATGAACATTTTTACGATTTTTTAATAATAATATTTTTAATCTGTTTTTCAGTAGATCGATTATAATTTTTGAAATTTTTATATAGTTTCGTTTCGATTGAGACCCAACAAATAAAATACCTAGTGAAGTGGTGGTCGAACGAGCTCATCGAATCGGACAATTTAAAGAAAACAAACCAAGAACATTAGTCTTAAAACTCTTGAATTACCAAGACAAAAACAAAATTCTCAAAGCAGTAAAACAACTTAAAGGAACTGGACTATACATAAATGAAGACTTCGCTCAAGAAACAGTATAACATCGAAGAAAGTTATGGGAAGAAGTCAAAAAACTAAGAAGCGAAGGTAAATACGCCATTTTAAAATACGACAAAATATTTACACAAGATTTTAAAAAATAGCGCTACACTTTTTTTTAACTTAGCATAGTCAATAGAAATCCTGGTCTGGAAAAGCTATTGTTTCAATCTTATTTTAAAACCGTATCTTGAAAAGTGCGTAAAAAGTAGTCACGTGATCAAATCTTGTGCAAAACAAATTTTTAAATGGCGTTTTCTGAAGAACTTTTTACAGGCGAAACGCTTGATTATATAATAAATATTAATGCTGATGATGAATTAAATCCAGATTTGCAAGAATATTTTGATAATGCATTATTAGAGGTAATAATAATTTTTAAATTTTAATTAGAATGGTTTATTTTGGTGTAAAGGTTAACGCAAATGATTAAGTTAAATTAAAAAAACATTTTTAAAAGTTATTGTATCCTAATATTTACTGTTGATAATCGTACTAAAATAATATATATATAATAAATGCTATTTTTAATATATATTAGGTAACCGATATTGGAGACTTCAAGTGCAAAATTTGCAAATCCAAAACGTATAAAACAAAAGGAGGCTTAGCACGACACAATAAAAACAAACATACCATAAAGAGTCTTACAGATATGCATTATAATGATTTTGTCACAGATATAAAAAAAATTGTTGCAGAAACTAAAGCTGATTTGTCAACAAATAAATGTTATCCTCAAGAAGTTATTTCAGAAATAAAAGACTTTGAAATAAAAATAACAGAAAACTTTTTTGATGAAATAAGAAAAATGTCAAAAAAATTAAAATCATCTGGAAATGCTGAAAAGTATTATTCCAACTTTTATAGCAATATTGTTCTCTTTTCAGACACATATTTTAATCTAAAGAAACCTGCATCAACAGTATTTACAACAAAGTTATGCAATAAATTATTTCAGCATTTTCAAAGCTCTCCTTCAAAGAATGTTGAAGTTGAAGAAATTTCACCACGTGAAGTGGATGGATTAAAATATTTGTCTGGGTATGTTATAAGAAATCTACTTAAAAAGGCAAAAACAACAAAAAATTACAAAAGCCAGTACAATCAAGCTATAATTGCATTATTACTTCAAACAACTAAAGAAGTTTCAAGTTCAGAAAAGTTAATAAATACCCAAAACAGAGGGGGTTTAACAGCAGTATGTGAAGAATGCTATCAGATTTTCTTGCTAGCTGAGAAACATTTTAGACAAGAAACTGCAGTTGCTAACCTCCGAAATATTGAAAGTAAGAATTTAACAAAACACCTATTAAAGGATCCTAATATTATAAGTTTTTACAATGCAATCGTGGATGATGTGAAATTCGTGTCTATTGATAAGGAAATTAAGCTTAACTTGTTAGAAAAAATGATAGAACTTTATTTTAGAGTTCGTACATTTTCATTGGCTAAAAATATAACTGCAAAAAACAATGATCAAAGTTTTAAAGTAAAATCTTTAAGAAAAAGTATAAAACGTAAATCAAACAATAAATAAAGACTTAAACTTTAAACTTAATACAAATAATTGATATATTTTGTTATATGCTATGTTTATATTTAGATTATATTTATAGGTTTTTTTTTCGTTTTGGTAACTTTTCATTATCAACAACACTCCAAGATACTTCACGTTTTTGACCATGACCACCTTTAGTATTTCCAGTAACCGGCGCAATTGATCTTTGCAATCGCAAGGTATTTGACTGGTAACCAAATTGATATAGTGTAGGGTTGTCATTTCTTCGACCTAAACTCCGTTGTCTACCAAAGTATTCCTCCAAAACGTCTTGATTGAATTTTTCAGTCAAAACAAACGGCATACCACTTTTTAATAAAAATTTTACCAATTCGATAACAGACATTACAGTTATTTGAAGTCCTTCGTATGTTTGCCAAGAGATAAACATTCTTCCTTTTGCATTGTTGGAAAAGTTACCAGGACGATTAATAATACACTCTTTCCATTTTTCTAGATAGCATAAAAATGTATTCTGTAGCCATGTCAAACGCTCGTCATTAACATCCGTGTATGGTAATAAAAATGGTTTGCGTTTCATTATCCCTTCACTGCTGTTTCGCACATTTAAGCAATCAAAAAAACTATCTAACATTTCACAAAATTTTGCAGTTCCATTTTTATCATCAGGGTAATAATTTTTTAAAATGTTACTGACACTACTACTTAAAACCTGGGCTGCAAGTCTTACATTCATAACAGAATAAGCACTAAGTTTAATATGATCCTGTGTTAACTTTGGTATAATTTTTAACCCATTTTGTCATTTCGTCATTGACTATTCTTGTGATATGGTACCAAATCAATTGTTGTCCATCATTCCAAAGACTTCGTGTACCCCTTCCATCCCCTGAAATAAAAAAAGATTGAATCTTAATATAACACAAAATTATTGCCTACAATTCAACTCTCAATCTAGGGAGGTTTAAAACATTGCATAGCCCTTCTAATCTTAGCTAAATAAGTAAGCATTTCATACTTTTTAATATAAAAATCTGTTATTTTATTATTACTTTCCAGCAAGAAATAACCATAACCTGATAATTTTCTACTGGAAAGGCCTGTAAACCAATACACTTTAAATATAATTTACATACCTGAGTGATATAAACAGTTCCTTGCTGTTTTGATGAGATGGGGAGCATCAGCAAAAAACCATAAGTACCGTTCAGGGGCATAAATATTAATGCATCGATGAACAACATTACAATCTAATTTGTCATCAAACATACTATGCATTCGATAGAACTTTCTGTTTGGTGCTGCACCATCCGATACTGCAGCTATAACATATAATTTACATGTCAGTTCTAAAACTCCAACTGCTTCCCAGAAAGTTGGCATTAGTTGAAACGAGGTGAGACCTTTAGTAGCAAAGTGACATAAAGCAAACTTTAAGTCAGAAGCAATACCTCGAATGAAGTAGACTAGAACATGGCTTGCTAAAGAATCTTCCTTTTGAAAAGTAGAATATAAATCAGGTTCACCTAAATCTACAAAACCTATAATGTCACCTGTGTGTTTATTAAAAACAAGTTTTTCTTGTATTTTTACTTCATCAAAAGATAACGTTACATATCGTTGGTAGCCAACTAGGTTAATACTAATTTTATTCAATTCTTCAATTACGGGAGGATTTAATCCAGCTTTCGGTCGAATGAAATTCTTATAATCTCTTAGAGTTCTGCGACTTGGTAATGTTAGTACATTTGATGAGCGCAACTCATCATAAGCTGAGGCCGACTTTGAGGCAAGTGAGAGGCAAAACCGTATTATCATAGGGTGATACTTTATTGAGCCAAAATTTTTATTACACATTTTCTTTTGCTGGTCCCAAAATAATTTCATAAAGGGAGTAGCTTTTTCGTAGTTACTACTCATTATTTGATTTAAATCATCAACAAACCCATCATCAATAGTAATACCTTTAGAGTCTATTTGAAAATTTATTTTTTCTAAATCACTTGTTAGCTGGGCACATCTTAGACGTTCTTGTTTTAATGCTAATAGAACGCGAACAGGATTTGTTTTACTAAGTGGAGCTTTTCGAAGAGCAGGTGTGGCTAACTGATGTTGTTTTTTTATTTTAATCATTTTGTTCTTTTTTAGTGTGTGGGTACAAAATGAACAAACAGAATTTATATTATCAGACTCACTAGTATGTAATATAATACATGATTTTGCTCTTTTAAACCTTTCATTTGATACACGCATACCATCTGTACTTGCACTTTCTAAATCAAATTCCATTGGAACAATATGATCAACAAAATCATCATTATTTATATTTCTGATGTTTTCTATAATACCAGAACAAAATCTTAATGTACATATTTTGCATAAAAGTTCGGTAACTGTAGTGTTCAGCATTGATCGTGAGTATAATTTATAGATTAAGTGAGTATCTGGCAAGAGCCACCCAAATACAATAATGGTGAACGCTAAACTCTCATCTACTACAACTTCATACTTAGGTAACAAATACAAAGGCAATAACTTTTTAAATTTGATATTGTTTTCATTACATGTCATCTCCCATCCACTAAGTTTTAACTTTTGGGTTTTTTTCTGTAAATCAATTAAGTTTGAATAATTTATTCGCTTCTGTGGGACAATATCTTTTACAATACTTATGTGTCTTCTAGGTACCTTTTTTTCTTTTTCATGTGATTTTATGGGTAGGTTAACAGTTGGTAAAGCCTCTAAGCGTAATGATTTCCTTCCAGTTTCTGAAATTCAACATATTTCAATAAAGTAAATATAAATTATCACACAAAAAATAAGAACAATACTGAGAAAAAAAGAGAATATGTTATCCACAAATTTATATAAAGCCGCAAATACTTTAAGCTTTATGAAATTTATTTGTTTATTGTACTTAAACTTATCAGAGTTGCCCAAAATTAAAGCTTTTAAAATTAAATAACACAGAGTGTAAAAGCAAATTTAAACAACTAAATATATAAAAGTATCCTTACTTGTCAATTCAATATCTTCTGCTAAAAAATGATTCTCACATATATAAATATTGCCCTTTGAGAGTCTTTCTTTCAAATCTTTGTCAAAGTCTCTATACTGAGTGATAATAGCTAACAATCTCTGTCTCCATTTCTTATAAAAGTCTCCTGTCCTCATAGGAATTCTGAATAAGGTGATATCTTTGTGCTTAATAGATCTTGAAACTGTACATCCTGGTAGACAACAATTTGAACCTGGCATTTTGGATTTATCTTTTAGACTTTTTTTAAATATAGAATATAAAGAAACATTTTAAATTGAATAAAGTTTTTAAACCATAGACAATAGAAAGGAACCAATATTATTTTAATAATAAAGAAAAATAATAATTTTAATATATTAATTTAAAATAAACATCAAAATCTTTATTAATTCGTAACTTTCATTATAAAAGTTTTGTTTGTTTTGCACAAGATTTGATCACGTGACTTAAAAAAAAGCGAACAATAACATACGACAATAGCTTTTCCAGACCAGGGTTTATTTCTATTGACTATGTTGACGCTGATACGCATATTTTTCAAATGAATAATTTTGATTCTCGATATTTTAAAACTGAAACTTTTAAAACTGAACTTGAAACTATTAAAAATAATTTTACAGTAATTCACATAAATATAAGAAGCAAAAATAAAAATTTTGACAAACTTAAGCACTTCCTAATTAATTGTAATTATTTGTTCAGTATGATTTGTCAATCAGAAACTTAATGCTCTAACGAATCAATCCAAAATAACACTAACTTTTAAATTCCCAATTATAAATTAATATCTTCTGTAAGAAAAACATGCAAAAAGGGAGGAAGAGATTGCAACTTATGTTCGGAGTGATCAAACAATAAAAGTAAGAAAAGACCGCTCCATTTCTAATGCCGATAGTGAGGTCTTTACAATAGAAATCATAAACTCCAAGTTTAAAAATTTTATTGTTTCAATCTGTTATAGACCACCTGAAGGTAATATTAAAACTTTTTCTAATTATCTAGAAGAAATTTTTCTCAAAATCAATAAAGAACAAAAAAGTTTTTCTGTATTAAAGGCCTCAACATAGATTGTTTAAAATACAATGAGTTTCCGATTACTAAATCATTTTTTGATAACATGTTTCAACATTGTATTTTACTAATTATTAATAAACCCACACCGGTAACCTTGAATTCTATTTCTGCCATAGATAACATACTAACAAACTCATTTCAAGATACCTCCTTAAAAGCAGGAATAGTAAAAATTGATATAACAGATCATTTTCCAATTTACTTTACAATAACAAATGATACAAGAATAAATAATAATTTGAAAAAAATAACTTATAAAGGAAAAATAAATAAACTTTCTATTCAAAATTTTAAAGACACACTATCTGCAGTAGATTGGGTTGAAGTGTATCAAGAATGAAACCTTGGGAACACAAACTCTGCATACAATATTTTTACAGATATTTTTCTAAAGCACTATAATAATCATTTTCCAATCAAAGAAAAAAAAATCAAATTAAAATATTTGAGCTGTCCATGGATCACTAGTTGAATTAAAAAATCTTCAAAAACAAAACAAAAACTATACGTTAAATATCTGAAAAACAGAAATGAGAATAACCTATCTACTTATAAACAATGCAAAAATCTTTTCGAAAAAATCAAAAAACAATCTAAAAAATTTACTACTCTAAATTACTTCAAAAAACAAATGGAGACATGAAAAAAACGTGGAACATTATGAAAGAAATAATCGGGAAAAAAAAACAAAAAAACAAATAGTTTACCAGATAGAATTATTATAAATGAAACCGAACACGGTGATAAGAACTCAATTGCCAAACACTTCAACAATTTCTTAGCAAACATAAGCCCAAACATGGCGTCTAAAATTTTAATTCCAAATGACTCCTTTGAAAATTATCTTACAGATCTAAATAGCGAACTAATTTTCAACGGATTAAGCTATGATGAACTCGAAAATGCAAAAAACTCTTTAAAAACTTACAAAGCACCAGGAATCGATGAAATTTGTAGCAATGTAGTAATGAATATCTTTCCGATAATAAAAAAAACCCTCTTCGAAATATTTAAATCTTCAATTATAACAGGAACCGTTCCAGAGAAATTAAAATTTGCAAAAATTGTACCAATATATAAAACTGGAGAACCATATATACTAAACAACTATAGACCAATCTCAATTCTTCCTGTATTCTCAAAACATCTCAAACGAATAATTTATAATAAACTGTACATATATTTAATAAACAATAAAATCTTAAATAAAAAACTATTTGGATTTCAAAAACAACATGCAACCGAATATGCAATCATAGATCTTGTAAATAGCATCAAATACTCATTTGATAATAATGAATTCGTTCTAGGAATCTTTATAGATCTATCGAAAGCATTCGATACTGTTGATCATGAAATCCTACTCAAAAAAATGGAAAAATATGGCGTAAAAAATGTTGCATTACTCTGGTTTAAAAACTTTTTACTAAACAGACAACAATGTGTTAATACTGATGAAAATATCTGTTCAAAAATGCCAAAGATCAAATGCGTTCCCCAAGGTTCCATTCTAGCTCCCTTACTGTTTTTAATATGCATTAATGATCTTCCGAAAGCCTCAAACAAACTTGATGTCATAATGTTTGCAGATGATAATAATTTATTTTATTCATCCCCGTCAATTACAGAACTTTTTGAAACAACGAATATTGAACTCGGAAAACTTAATATTTAGCTAAAATCTAATAAATTATCTTTAAACACAGAAAAAAACTAATTACATCTTATTCCATCCAAATAAAAAAAGAAAAAAACTACCAAATATATTGCCATTGCTAAGAATAAAAAACAAAAATATCGAAAGAACCACAACAATTAAATTTCTAGGTTTACTTATTGATGAAAATATTTGATGGAAAGCCCATATTGACTATTTAAATACTAAAATAACCTAAAACATTGGCGTGCTATACAAAGCTAGACCAATGTTATCCCAAGGAAATCTAAAACATCTTTATTTTTCATTTATACATACCTATTATACATATGGTAATATAGCATGGGCCAGTACCCATAAATCTAATTTAAAATTACTTTATCAACATCAAAAACATGCCATTATAATTGTCTATAAAAAAGATAAACTCACTCATGCTGAACCTTTGTTTAAACTCCTAAATGCACTAAACATCTATAGAATTAACATTTACTATAACTTACTCTTCATGCTAAAATATAAACTCGGGCTTGTCCCACCACATTTCTTAAAAGAATTCTTTAAAAGCAATAAAAATAGATATGACACTAGAGAAGTAGGAAGCTTTAATGTACCGTTCAGAAAAACAAAACTATCGTGTTTTACAATTTCATATCGCGGTCCCTATCTCTATAATAAACTGATATCCAAAAATGCCATAATTACAAAATTAGAAAACATAAATTGTTTGAAAATCTTACTAAAAAAGTTCGTTTTAGATATCAACAATTATTTGACTTACACTAAACTAAAACTGAAACTAAAACCAAAATTTTAATTGAAAACAAAATCCCAAAAAATTTCAATAATATATATTAATATAAAAAATCAATATAAGTCAATAATAGTTATATTTATGCCTAATAATATATTTATATGTATTATGCGTACTACAAACAGCATTTACCAATTTATTTATTTTTACATTTTATCATATGTGAACTCAATATAAAATAAAGTATTTTGTGAAACTAGATACATTGTAAAACGAAAATACAAAAAATATTACAAGTACATGCGGTTTCTTGATGACAACCATCTGTTCTTCTGCAAGTTTCCCGCGTTCTTTTAATATTAATTATACCCTGCAATCATATTTTTTGTATTCTATAAAATTGTGATATATTTTTAGCATTATATATTTAAAAAAAAATTATAGCATTGTGCCAGTCATGTAGAATCAAAACATTGTAAAGATAAAAGAACAAAAAAAAAAAACAAAAAAACAATAACATCAAACTTTTGAAAAATCTTTCTATAATATTAGGGACCCATTTAATCTTTAAGGGTCTGTAGTTTTTGTTAAAAAAAATTTTAAATCTAGTGTTATATTATTATTTAGAATATATTCTATATCCATTTAATGTTCAAGAGTCTGTAGTTTTTATTAAAAATTTTTTTAAATCCAGTGTTATTTTATCATACAGAACATATTCTATATTTCCTAATTGTCTCTAATTCCTACAGATCCTTGAACATTAAATGGATCCCTAAAATTATAGAAAGGTTTTTCAAAAGTATGTTGTGTTGGGTCTCAATCGAAGCAAAATTATATAAAAATTTCAAAAATTAAAATCAATGTATGAAAAATCAGAGTAAAAATAATTAAAAAATCGGAGGGGGGGGGCACTAATAAATATTACTATTAAAAAATAAGGGCCAGCAAATACTAATTTTTTTTTTGAACAACCCTAAAGGTTGCTGCTCAAACGAGTCATTATAGCTTGTTTCTTTAATTAAAACTTAACCTCGCGTGATTAGTCAATAAGCTAAATATTATTCGTTTTTCTTTTACTTTTTTTTTAACGATTAACAGTTTACATTTTAAGGTGTAATAGTTAACAAGGTAATACAGTTTCGCAGGTGCGGTCAACGATCTAGGTAGAGACTTAATAACAAACAACTTTTTTAGTTGGTTAGAGCAGGGGTCAAGGCAATAACATCCGTTTTTTGCCACGTATAATAACAACCGTGAAACAACATCCGAAATTTCATCGATGTATAATAACATCCGTGCAATAACATCCCAAATATCATTGATGTATAATAACATCCGTGCAACTACATCTGTAGATTTTTCGGATGTAACTACATCCTAATTTTTTTTTTTTTAAATGCTTAATTTTAACCAGATGAAGTTACGCATCTGATTTTTTTCGGATGTAACTACATCCGCCAAAAAAAAAATTATTGTAAAGCATTATTTTAAGCAAAATAATTTTTTTTTTATAATTATTTGATAGACTGCCTGCCCGTTGTGAGTCAGGCTATTTGTCAGTCGATGTAGCAGCACTTATATAATATAATAACTATATATGTAACTTATAAATGTAACTACATCCGGATTTTTTTTTTTAATAATGCATTATTTTAACCAGATGTAGTTACACATCTAATTTTTTTCGGATATAACTACGTCCGAAAATTTATTTTATTTAATAATGCATTATTTTAGGCGGATGTAGTTACACATCGAGAAAAACTCTCGGATGAAGTTACATCTTTCTAAAGATGTTATTAGACATCAATGAAATTTTGGATGTTGTTGCACAGATGTTAATTCAGTAAAGAAAAAAAGCGGATGATCTTACACAAAAATGTGCGGATGTTATTTCACTACTCCACGGATGTTGTTGGACATATGTAGTAATCTTTTCCCTAAAACAGCGATGTGGCCGGTCGTTTTGAGATTATTGGTATCGCATGTAATACGAGTTATTAGCGCCTACATAATGCCATTTTATTCTATGACTACATTTAGGAGCTAACTTGTAAAAGTATTTTAACTAATAAAATTAGTTATTAACTAATAAAAATCTTAGTGACTCTCAGAGTTACCACGATTTTTATAAGTTATTTGTTCAAAGCTAAAACCAGGAGTTTTTTTCTGCTTATAGGTAGGATAAAACAAAAAAAAAAAAATCAAAATTATCCGACGCAACTGAACTCGTTTATTAATTAACACGGCGTTTTTCAATGTTTTTAGTTTAATTAGTGGATAGCTATTAAAATCATTAGTCGGAAATTCTATAAAAATGGTTACCACACAAAGGAGATAAAAGTAAACAAATAAAAATTGGTTTCTAAAAAAATTAAAAAAATTCAATGTTCCTACAGTTTGTTTAAAACTATATAATGCTGACAAATATTATGTAATTTTATGCACTGATTAGTGGCACGAATGTCTGAAAAGAAGTACGAAACTATGATGCCTAAAAGAAATTATGAAATATTTCCAGGAAGAAATAAATTTTATTGCAAAGGCCATATAATTATGTCAAGTAGTAACTGTGTTTTTTTAGTCACTGTTATGCTAATCATAGGAACTTCGACTCTTTTCTTCATATTTGAGTAAGTAAAGATATAATATAAAGATATATTTGGTGGTTTTAAATGTTGTTAGTTGTTAGTAATTAGTTGCATCAAATGTTTAAATTTATAGTTTTTTAAAATACTTTTGAAAAGCCAGGTTTCAACTATACAATTTTCAATAATGTTTGTTTTAGTAAAAAATCAAATGAATTGTTTAATAAAAAATGTCTTTTGCATCCATCTTAATAGTATTTCCTTTTTTAGTTGAACCATTTTTTTGCAAAAATATTTATAACCAGATAAATATTATTGTAGTTGATAAATATGGAGAATAAGATAAACAATAAAGGTTATTTATTTGGTTAAATGTAGAATTTTTATATTATATTTATATATTATAAGTTGTTATTTTAAATTTTGTTTGTTTTATTTTAAATAATTTAAAATTTGTTTTAAGATGGTATTTAATAAAAGTCTAGTTTTCATTTTTCTATTTAGCATACCGTTTTATTTTTTGTTATAAAAAAATTATTTAAAGAAATATTTTGTTTTCCAAATGCACAAATAATATAAAAAACAGAGAGTTGTTTATAATTTTTTTTTTTTTTTTTTTTTTATATGTAGAAAAGTCTATTCAGATAAACATTTTATTTTTTTCTTCATTTTTTCTTAATCCATTTATTTTTTTCCAATTTGTTTTATTTTTCACATTACTGTTTTTTCTTTCATTACGATCCTTTTGATCATATCTTCTTAATGATTGTGTTATCTTATGCATTCTTCCTGAATTTTCTCATAGTTTTCATTCCCTCTATTCTTTTATTAATTTTTTGTCGTGTTTTTGGTATTTCCTATTTTTATTTACTGTTTATTACTTTTTTTTCTTTATTTCTTTATTATTACTTTAACTTTTATTACTTGATAGATAGACTTTTGTTATTTGATAAATTTTATTATTTTAAGATTTGTGGAGTTTTAGCTTAATCGGGCCATGCTGTTCATGCCTAATTGACATTAAAGTCTTGAAAGGTTTGAATGAAAAAAAAAATTATGCTTTTTCTTCATAAATTGAAAATGGTTAATCCATATTTAGAAAACAATAATATAAAAGACATGGATTGTAAACAAAATGTAGCATGGAAAATAATGGTTGGTCAATGATCAACGACCACCTTAAATGACTTAAATTGCTATTTTGACCTTCCAAAATAAATACTTGCCTGTGGTTGACCAGTTAAAAAAAATCAGAGTTTTCAAAAACAAAGTTTGACAAATAATCAGGATGCTTTTTGGAAAAAGCATATACTAAAATTTCATAAAATCATTTAAATTTTGAAGAAGAATTTTAAAAATTTTTATTGTTTATCATATGCTACTTTAATTGCCAGCAAGTTATTAAAGTGAAAAGTTGAAAAGCGAAATGATGTAAAAGCGAATTTTTTTTTTTCATTAATACTGCCAATACTGGTTTTATCTTTGTTTTTAAAAGATTGCATGAAATTAGCTATTTATTAATAATATAATAATTAAAAATTATTAATTTATTAATAATTTTGTATTATTAATTTACTACTTAAAATATATTTGAATATATATTAAATTTATGATTGTTAAAGTTTTACATGTTAATAGAAACCAGTAATTTTTTCGCCTTAACAACCCTGAAGTTGTTAATTTGCTTGGTTGACAAAAATTATACATGATGTTATCTAATTTTTTTTATTTATCTTATTTAAATTTCTTTCATTTTACTGGTGGTGAAAGTCCTTTTATTCATAAATGATTGAAGTTTTTATTTTATTATTATTTTAATAAAAATATTAGGTATATTGTTTTAATAATAATATTATTATTAAAACAATATACCAAATAAAAAACAATATACCAAAAAAAACAACAACAATATTTTCTATAATTAACTAAGAAAATTTTTTCTTTTAACTGCATTTAATCAATTTTTCTTTAAATCTTTGTATTTATTTTCTTGTAAGTTTTGCCGCATATTGCAAATAAATGAGTAAATAATTTATAGATAAATTTAAAGCTATTAATTACACGTTTGAGCTTTTTTTTGCATTGTCTTATATTAATTAGAACATTAGAAAATTGTACATTGTCTTATATTAATTAGAACATTTGAAAATTGTACATTTAAAAAACTTCCTAATCAAAAAGTAAGAAGTTTATTGTTTAAACAAAAATATTATTATATTTTTATTTTTTTACAAACTTTATTTAAGAATTTAGAAATAAAGTAACAGAACTAAATTTGTCAAAAAAAAAAAAAAAAAAAAAACTTTGGCAGGCCTTGTTAAGAAGCTTTACAGCTCGCATTTTATGTACGCATTCAGTAATTTTAGGTTAAGCAAAAACTTGTCTCTTCATCATAGATTATATTAGATTATAATATGCAAAAGCATATTATAATCTAATATAATCCTTATAACCATTAGCAAAAAAAAGTTACATTTTCAAATAATATCTATGTCCTTGTGTACTAAATCATGAAACTCTATACAGTGTTTATATCATAAAGATATAATAAATATAAAAAAGTGCTAAAGATTGGAGAAGGTAGGGGTAAAAAATTTTGACCCTGGTAAAACCATTTCTAATTAAACAGTGGATGTGCGGTAATATTCATTCTCAAGAAACAATTGTGATCACCAACGACATTTTGAAGACTGTCACTAATTAAAAGCAGGGGGTTGTGTAGAATCAGGTGCTATTAATGTATTGTTATAATTTTTGTATGGTTATTGTAATGTCGTGTTAACAAACATAAAGCTAAATTAAAAAAAAAGAAGAAGACTTATGGGATGGTAGTTAGACGAATCAGATCGCTCTCCAGAATTTTTAAAAATAGGGATAACAGATGCTGCTTTCCAGAAGGCTGGAAAACAAGACTCTGATAAGCACTTGTTAAATAGTTTTGAAAGGATAGACAGATAATTAGTTTTAAAAGGATAGAAAACAAGACTCTGATAAGCACTTGCTAAATAGTTTTGAAAGAATAGTTTTAAAAGGATAGAGCTGGTGAGCATTTAAAGACATCAATTTTAAATGCTTTACATGCTGGCATTCCCAAAGCTTCTATTTCAGAGTCAAAGCTAAATGTTCCTAATAATAACATTCGCCTCATAAAAAGTTGTATACTATGACTTCTGAAGAAGCTTTGACAGAACTTACAAATTATGGCACAAAATAGGAAAAAAGGAATACAAGCTAGAAAGGTTTTGCGTGAAAAAACAAAACAGGAGGCTAATTCAAGTAGGACTCAAAAACATTTGGTAAAGGAAGCTGATTTGTTTAATAAATCTACTATTAAACAATGTAAACAACAACTGGCAGAGGTAATCATAGCTCCAAATAAGATCAGAATCCAAAGCGACTTCCATATATCAAGACTGTCAACCTAATGGTTCTTCGAATTCAAAAATATGTTAAGATTGTGACATTTGTTTGACATTGTTTAAATACACAATAATGAATCTGTATTTAATATATAACAACATAAATGGATTATTGCAATTTTTTTTTTTTTAAATTTAGCTTTATCTTTGTTAACACGACATTACAATAGCCATACAACAAAAGTTATAACAATACATTAATAGCACCTGATTCTACACAACCCCCTGCTTTTAATTAGTGACAGTCTTCAAAATGTTGTTGGTGATCACAATTGTTTCTTGAGGATGAATATTACCGCACATCCACTAAGGCGTTTGATAAAGTTTGGCATGCTGGTCTTCTCCATAAGCTTTCTTCTTAAGATGTATCTGGAAACATCTTTAAGATTATTGAATCCTTCCTTTCCAATCGTAGTATAAAAGTTGTCCTTAATGGACAGCACTCTTCTTCGTATTCTGTAACCTCAGGGGTTCCTCAAGGTTCAATCCTTGGCTCTAAACTCTTTTTAATTTACATTAACGATCTTCCAGATTTTCTTACATCTAAGGTGGCATTGTTCGCTGATGATACTACCATTTATTCTTATCACGATAAGAAGCCAACTCCCTCTGATTCCTTGCAGGGGGCATCTGAGCTTGAAAAGGATCTCACTTCTGCTACAGCATGGGGCTCACAGTGGCTGGTGAACTTTAATTCAGATAAAACTCAATTTTTTTCAGCCAATCGTGTTGGCTGAAAAAAATTGAGTTTTATCTGAATTTTATCTATTTAAAAATTTTATCTGAGTTTTATCTATTTAAAAATTAGACCTTCCTATATTTATGAACAGTAATGTACTCGATGAGTCTCCTACCCTTCATCTTCTAGGATTAACTCTTACTTCTTATCTTTCTTGGAAACCTTATATCAAATCCATTGCAAAATTAGCATCTGCTAAAGTCACTTCTCTTTATCGCTTTCTTACTCTGGATTCTATTCTCTATCTCTATAAATCTCAAATCCGGCCTTGTATGGAATACTGTTGCCATATCTGGGGTGGATCTTCTACTGATGCCCTTTCTCTTTTAGACAAGGTGCAAAAACGCATTGTAAACATAGTTGGACCTACTCTTGCAGCCAACCTTCAACCTCTGTCACATCGTCGTAATGTTGCTTCTCTTTCTCTTTTCTACAAATACTTTAATGGGCACTGCTCTAAAGAGCTAGCGTCTCTTGTGCCATTTACAAAAGTTCATTCTCGTGTTACTCGTCATTCAATTAAGTCTCATCCTTTTTCTGTTACTGTTCCTAAGTGCTCCAAAACTCTTATTCGTCTAGTTTTTTTCCTCAAACATCAGTTCTTTGGAATTCGCTTCCTTCATCTTGCTTTCCTGATTCATATAATTTGCAATCTTTTAAGTTGTCTGTCAATTATTATCTTGCTCTACAATCTTCATCTATTCTCTTCCAGTAACTTCCAACACTAATTAGTGGTTGCTTGCAGCCTTGTTAAAAAAGATGTTAAAAAAATAAAAAAAGCAGTTGTGCAGCATGTTAAAGGTCTTTGAATGAAATATTTCATTCAAAAAGAACCGTTTTGAATGAAATATTTGCTCAAGATTCCATACCGTTTACTTTTCACTGTC